CCCTATCTGATTCCTACTAATTGACTACACTTTTTCTACACAGTAGATAAACTGTCTCATGGTAACGGCAGCCACACAGTTCTATATTGGTGGCAGATCTTTAGGAGTCACCCTGGCTTCTAAGTGAAATTTGAGAGATACCTTAATCTTATCAGCCAGACACTTGCAAATCATCTCCTAAGATAGCTGCTACTGTAGCTAATCTTGTTCCTTACATCTGATTTTTACTGGCTTCAATTTTAGAGGTTGTCTGTATTTTGAGTTCTGAAGATCTGCCTTATTTAAAACATACAGCTTCTCTCTCCCCCCCGCGTATACTGACTATATTTAAATATTAATTTTTAGATTTATTTTAGCCATTACCAGACCTTCTATATGATCCATTGTTTACTTTTTATCTCTCTGTACTAGGTTCATGAAAGAAGTGTCCAGTCAGACTTCCTCCTAATTATCTTGAAGGAAATTTTACAGAAACGCTCCGATCTACACTTGATTCTAATGAGTGCCACTGTAGACAGTGAAAAGTTTTCTACATATTTCACACATTGCCCTATTCTCAGAATTTCAGGAAGAAGTTATCCTGTTGAGGTATGTTTTCTTTATATTACATGTGTAAATAGAAACTACATTACCAGCCAGAACATTTTCCCAAAAGATAAGTCCTTGTAGCCTCAACTCAGAAGTGTTCCTAGTCAGGAACCTGTTCCATGAGAGGACTTGGAAATCGCCTGGAGACTGCTGTTTGTTTAATGAGTAAGGCCAGGTGGAAATCAAACTGAGGGTAAATAAGCTAGAAGGACAGATTCTGCTGACAGCCATAGCTGAGAAGCACAGAACATAAAACACATTTCCATTATCCAGATTGAGATTGGCTGCCTGGCAATGAGGAACTCCTTTTCACCTACCCCTAACATATAGGGTTGTCCTTGAAGCTTTCTTTCTGCCTGTTCTTAATGTTGGCCCTTTTCATTCAGCTGATAAAGACTGCTCTTTTACTCGGTGTTTACATATAAATTGAACACCGCACTGTGAATCTGTCCTCAGCCTCTGCAGCACGGTTTCAATCCCAGCCAGCCTGGGAGAAGCCCACATGGTGCAGCAGACCTCTCCTGGCTCACCCGCTGCTCCCCTCAGCAGTGTATTTCAGTAGATCTGCCTGTTCTGCTCCCCATTCTGTCTCTGGTGAATCCTCTCATCCTCCCACACATCTGGCCTGTACCCTGGTTCTTGTATAAATAAATCTTTTTAAAAAATTGCAATTCATCCTAAGACTTCTAGAGACAGACCCATCTGTATTGTCCAAGTTCTTCATAATGCAAAAAAGAGTAGAGCTTTTTTAAAAAGATTCTCAGTTAGCATTTGGTGGCATTCCAAAGTTAGCAGTCACCTTTATTCTATTTGAAATGGCATTTATTGAGGGGCCTTTGTGGTGGTGCAAGGGGGTAAGTCTTAGCACTATGAAGCTATCAGCAGCCACTGCAGCAAAAGTTTGATCCCCAACCAGGGGGCTAACCCACATGGGGCAGCGGACCTCTCCTGTCTCATCTGCTGCTCCCCTCAGCAGTGTATTTCAGTAGATCTGCCTGTTCTGCTCCCCACTCTGTCTTTGGTGGATCCTTTCACCTCTCCGCACCTCTGGCCTATACCCCAGTTCTTGTATGCATAAATAAATCTTTTTAAAAAAATGGTATTTATTGAAAAGCATTTGAGATCACCATTTATATCCTTTATGCAGGTTTTTCATCTGGAAGATATAATAGAAGAAACGGGCTTTGTACTGGAGAAAGACTCGGAATATTGTCAAAAATTTCTGGAGGAAGAGGAGGAAGTAACCATTAATGTTACAAGTAAAGCAGGGGGAATAAAAAAGTATCAGGTAAAAAGAAAACATTTAAAAGATATCTGATAATGATATTGACACCAAAATCTGCCATAACATTTTAAAATCTTAACGGCTAGCACAGTGAATTCAAGTATAATTTGAGGTAGAAGAAAGAAAAATATTATGAGCAAATTTTAAAGTTTAGTTCTTTAATCTTTGTTTCATATACTCCAATCTTGGCTTTATAGTATTTTGTCGTCTTGTACTATTCTGATACACATAAAAGATCAAGTACCATATATGCAAGAGGCAGCTTTTACTATTTCATAGCAATGATCAGTTAAAAAGCTATGTTTTCCTGCATTTTAACCAGTGTTTAATTATATGCAATATTTTCATTGTACTCGTGATATGTTACACATGTATCCAAAGTTAAATTTACTTTATCTTGTAATTAAGCAGATAAACCAGAAAAGCAAAGGGGCAAAGGGGCCTTCCTTGGTGACACAAGGGGTTAAACATCAGCACTACAAAACTATCTGCAGCCACTGCAGCATGAGTTCAATCCCCAGCCAGGGTGGTGACCCACATGGCGCAGCAGACCTCTCCTTTCTCGCCCGCTGCTCCCCTCAGCAGTGTATTTCAGTCAGTCTGCCTGTTCTGTTCCCTGCTCTGTCTCTGGTGGATCCTCGCACCACCACCCCCACCTTTGGGCTGCACCCTAGCTCTTGTATGCATGAATAAATAAATCTTTTAAAAAACAAAAACGATTTCCCTAAAACCCCAGAGATAAAAATTATAGATTAAAGAAACACTTAAGAAAATTAAAGGTATTTCAAAAGAGATGATTGAAAATCAGCAACCTAAGGAGAAACTGGAAGGAATGAAGCAGGTGTAAGCTACTTATTAAACCTTTCTTTGACCTGGTTGGTTTTGAGCTGCCACAGAATAATGCATACATTGTTCTGTTTTTCTTCAGTTCAGTAGTATGTGCATGCCAACATAAAAAGGTTTTGCTATACTTAAGGAGGCTCAAATTAAAATATAGGAAAGAGCTGGAATTTTATTATGCTTTCTGCACTGTTAAAAATACACTCTTGTGGGGCCTCCCTGGTGGTGCAGGGGTTAAAATCTCAGTGCTGTCAAGCTATCACCAGCTACTGTGGCGTGAGTTCAATCCCCAGCCAGGGAGCTGGGGCAGCAAACCTCTCCTGTCTTGCCCTGTGCTCCCCTCAGCAGTGTATTTCAGTCGATCTGCCTATTCTGTTCCCCACTCTATCTCTGGTGAATCCTCTCACCTCTGGCACCTCTGGCCTACACCTCCATTCTTATAGGCATAAATAAATAAAAATAAGTCTTTTAAAAAAAATACACTCTTGCTATATTTTAACAAAATAATGTGACAGTGTGAAAAATGTAAATTTCAGTCAATAAAATACTTTTTTTTCCTTTTTTGTCTTAGAAAAATATGTAATATTTTTGTTCAACTTTTTCTAAATGTGTTTCTTTTAGGAATACATCCCAGTTCAGACTGGAGCAAGTGTTGACTTAAATCCATTTTACCAAAGGTATAGCAACCGCACTCAGCATGCTATTCTCTACATGAATCCTCATAAAATCAACCTGGATCTCATCTTGGAACTTCTTACATATTTAGGTAGACATCTATTTCTAATATATCTCCATTTGTCTTGATAAACTTTTTTCTACTAGAGATATTTGACTAATATTTTGTATGCTATTCATTCTTATTTTGAATATTGTATTTTAAAAAATTTTTCAGACACAAGTCCTCAGTTCAGAAATATTGAAGGAGCAGTGTTGATCTTTTTACCAGGCCTTGCTCATATTCAACAGTTATATGATCTCCTATCAACTGACAGAAGATTTTTTTCTGAGCGGTAACTAAAAATCTTTATTATATTCCTCGTAGTTTTAAAATAGAAAAATGATTCAGACATTAAAACTCTTAATTAGAGCTTTCAAAGTCTATTCACCTTTTTTTAAAATTGTCTGTAGTAAAGCAAGTTTGTTTCGTTTTAACATTTCTGTTACAGCATTTAACTATTAGAAATTTTAGGTACTGTTTCTACATTTGTCTTATTTTCTTAATATGATTAAGCAAAGGAAATGTTGTGGTTCACAATAAAGTGGTGACACCCCTCACCAATCCACTGGATGGTGCAGAACCCCAATAAAAGTTGTAGTGTATTATCCATACACATTGAATTGGCTATTTATTATATTGTTTTTATGCAGTTTACTACTGCTGTCAGTGATTATCACTTCAACATCAGAACAAATATTTTTTTAAGATTATTTATTTATGCATAGAAGAACTGGGGTACAGGCCAGAGGCATGGGGTGTAAGAGGATTCACCAGAGACAGAGTGGGGAACAGAACAGGCAGATTGCCTGAAATACATTGCTGAGGGGAGCAGCGGGCAAGTCAGGAGAGGTCTGCTGCACCATTTGGGTTGCTCCCTGGCCGGGGATAGAACTCGTGCTGCAGTGTCTGCGGACTGCTTCATAGGTTGCATCTTAATCCCTTGTACCACCAGGGAGGCCCAACATCAGAACATATTTTTTAAAAAAATTTTTAAGTTTTTCTCTCAGTGGGTTATATGGGATTTCATTGCACCACTCTCAGAACTTTTGTGTGCTTAAAAGTTTTCATAATTTGGGCGGGGGCGGGAGGGGAGGGATTGGGGTCAGAATGGGGGGGCTGCAATTGTATGGGGAATATAAAAATAAAATTTATTATTAAAAAAAAAATAAAAAAAAATAAAACTAACAAATTCCTAAAAAAAAAAAAGTTTTCATAATTAAAAAAAAACTAAGTTGCTTCCTATTTGCAAATAAATTTTGTTATTCCTTGCAGTGCCTTCTAAAGAGAAACTCTTGCTAAGAACTATGATTTTAACTTTCAGATATAAAGTGATAGCTCTGCATTCTATTCTTTCAACTCAAGATCAAGCTGCAGCATTCACATTTCCTCCTCCAGGAGTCAGGAAGGTAAATTTCAGTGCATCCAATTTATGTGATCCCTCTGATAACATTTTATGAAATTGTTAGGGCTTTTTATCATCTAAGATAGTAACTAGTATTGAGTGCCCTATAATCTATGGCAGGCTCCAGATGCTCTCTAACTTACCATAATCAGAAGTGAACCCAGTAATAAAATTCAAGTATTAGAATATAGTGTGTATTATTAAAGGGATAGGCTTTTCAGGGGAGTGGTAGTTGTAAAATATGGCATGGATATTGCTTATAAAAAGAAAAATCACTGTTTTTCTCCAAGAAGGCATCATCAAGGAGGTTAGATGTCAGGAGTCATCTGAATTTTGGAAGACTTCTTTGTTATTCTGTAGACTGTTTATCCCTGATTATGTTTGTAATATATCAGCCATTAAGTTAGGAAGCATCTCAGTATTTTGACTGTATTCTCTGATCAGGATTCTGAATGAAGAGATACATGCTGAAGAGTTTCTTTTGAACTCCCACTTAGAAAGGGTAGAACACAGTGTAGAACCTGTGGAGAAGACAGAACTCCCATGAAGAGCTGAGATTATAATATAAGAAGGATAATTCTAGAACCTGGACTATATAACAGATGAATCCTGGGTTGGACAATAATTCAATTCAGGAGGCCTGTGCTTTTGTCCTTAGACTGTTGCCATGTTTTTGCTATTAGCAGCCTAGTTATCCTCACTTTGTCATATTAGAAGGGGTTACATTAAACTGATGGTTTTCTAAATGTGCTCTGAGAACAACAGGGGTTCTGGGAATGTGCTCTGATCTGTAACATTTGGGCTTCCAGTAAGATTTTATTTTAAGAGCTCCACCTCTTAACCAGAAAATGTGAATGCTACTGAATTAGAATGACCACCTAGTTCCCATAAGTCTTAATAATCTGTATCGTAGGATAGATGAATATGAAAAGCAAGCATTCAGTTTTGAAATACAGATAGTGCAATGCATACATTATATTTAAACTAAAATTACCTAAATGTTTTACCTCCAAGGACTCAACAGAAGAAAACAATGAAAAATTACACAGTTCACCATTAAGAATTTTAGATCTAGAAAGAAACCTAAGAAATTTTTTATATCTACCTCCTAATTTATAGTTGAAGTAACTAAAGTTTAAAGAGGTAAAATAACTTGTCTAAGGTCACAAAGCTAATAACTGACAGAGCTAGGTTGGCAACCCAATTCATCTCATTAATGTATTATATTTTTCCTGATAATTGTGAAGGGCTGTGTTTAGCTGTCTCTGTTCTTTGACTCAATTTCCCATTATACTTGCATCATTTTTAAGATAACTGACTAGAATTAGAGGATTTGGGAATAAAAATCTTTAGCTTTAGTTTAATTAAGCAAGATGGAGTGATGAAACTAGTTAGAACAAATTAAAATTACATAGTAGTAGCAAGTAAACTATAAATTTTTTAAATAAAATTGAAATTTACTTTCTAAATTCATTATCTCAGACTTTTAGATGATATATAACAGAAAGTTGTTACCTAAATGTTCTGACTTTTTCTTTGTTTTCAGATTGTTTTAGCAACAAATATTGCAGAGACAGGTATCACTATTCCAGATGTTGTATTTGTAATTGATACTGGAAGAACAAAAGAAAATAAGTAAGTTTGCATTTCCCAAATCAAAACATTTTGAACCTGAGAAGGGTTTAAGGCTCTTGAATTCTTAGGAGAAATCACAGAATCATATAGGAAAAACCCCTGATGTCCTAATACTGCCCAAAACACAAAGCCTCAGAGAAACATTAGGAAACTTTAAAATATCTGAGAGCAAATGTCAAATTTTAAGTCATGGATTGTCCCTTAAGTAATATACTAATATACTGCAACTTTTTTCAGTGCCAGAGCTTACCATTTGGTAGTATGAAATTTACTCACTTACTTAACTGAAACACTATTTGGAAAATACTGGTCCAAAATGGTAATGAACTTTTTAGGGTGGGGTTCCTATTTTGCTTCATTTTAAGAGTCAAATATTTCCAGCCCTTTTCATATTTTCATTCGATAAATTGCCTGCATATTCTCCCCTAAAACATTTCTTTAGGTACCATGAAAGCAGTCAAATGAGTTCTTTGGTTGAGACATTTGTCAGTAAAGCCAGTGCTCTGCAGCGCCAGGGAGAGCTGGGCGGGTCCGAGATGGCTTCTGCTTCCGAATGTACACAAGAGAAAGGTACAGTACAGCGCCGAAAATTAAACACACATAGATAGTACACTGTGGCACTTCTGATAACATGTCAGGTATTTAGTATTATTCTATTTTATTTTTTAGATTTGATGGCTTTATGGACTACTCGGTCCCTGAAATCTTGCGTGTGCCTTTGGAGGAGTTATGTCTTCATATTATGGTAATCCCAAAGAAACTCAGATGAATTCTATGTTTACCCCTTTCCCGGGGGGTGGAGGGAATGAACACCCAAACTTGCCTTATGTTGCTCTAAATTTTTAGGTATTTTATTTACTCATTAATATATGTCCCTGATCCCCACCTTTTTATAAGTAAACCCACCGTGCTTTATAGATTAAAATACAGTCTTATAACCTAGACAGATAGTTCTCATTGGTGGGAGGCAGTATGGTGCACCAGGGGATAATCGGCAGTGTCTGGAAACATTTTTGGTAGTCAGAACTTGGAGGGGGCTGTGCTATGGATTTTTGGCGGGTAGAGACCAAGGATGCTGCCGGACATTCTCCAGTGACCAGTATAAATCCCTAAGAAAAGAATTATCTGGGCTGAAATATCAATAGTGCTGAGATTGAAAAACCATGACCTACACCACAGGGTTACTAGCCTGAAAGATCTATGATATCCTTCAGTTCTTATACTTCTGACTCTATAAAAATTATAGAATAAAGAAACAAAAAGTACAGACTGGAAGAGCTCCTCATGCCCACATCCCTCAACATACACACCACACGTGCACACACATTCTCTCTCAAACTCATTCACTCACTCACTCTTAATTACAAAAATCAGATAGTCTTATTCAGACATTTATCCTATTTGCTCAAACTTTTACTTAACTCAAATTTAGTTCCAACTTGACCGTCTTCTTTGGGTAGTAGTAATACTGTGTGATCACATAACAATTTATCACTCTTTTTCAATCTACAGAAATGCAATCTTGGTTCTCCTGAAAATTTCCTCTCCAAAGCCCTAGATCCTCCCCAGCTCCAAGTAATCAGCAATGCAATGAATTTACTCCGAAAAATTGGAGCTTGTGAACTAAATGAGCCTAAATTGACTCCGTTAGGCCAACACCTTGCAGCTTTGCCTGTGAATGTCAAAATTGGCAAGATGCTTATTTTTGGTGCCATATTTGGCTGCCTTGACCCAGTGGTAAGTCGTAATGCTATTGCCTCTTTAAGTATTATTTTATCTGGGAAATGACAATTAGAAATAATTTCTAGCTTTTAATTTAATATTGTTAAACTAAATAGAATGTCTTTATCATTAAAATCCAGGGAGGAGCATGAATGCTCAGTGAAAATTTTTTTAATATATTTAACTTTTTATGTTAATGTATAAGATACTTATCCATTTACTTAAGTGTACTGTAGGTAGTATTTTGTGAATGGGTCTGGCTCAGACACCCCCCTTGAAATATTTATTCAATTGAATATGTAGTAGACAACTTTTAGGACGCTTTGAACACCACTGACTTTCACAAATAGAATAAACTTTCCTCCTTTTTTGGAGGGATTATCTCTGAGTCAATGATTTCAAGCAGTTCTATTTTTTTCATTATTTCATAATTAACAAATATAGTGCCTTTGTCTGAATATCTGGACTTGTATACCAGGTTTTTCATTCCAACTCTCCAGCTTCATCAAGGTGTGTCCTTTTCTTGGCCTATAAATCAAGACTGTTTAAAAACAGAACAGAGAGCTCTGTTCAACTTCCCCTCAGTGGTCTCTAAGAGAATAGTAACTACGTATGGCAAGGATTTTGTGTTCAGTAATTGAGAGGCTCCAGGCAGAATTTAGACTGTGACAAAAGATGTTGAGTCTCATTTTTACACATTGGATACATCACACATTTGCCAGGTCAAGGGTTTCAGCTTTCATCTGCCTATCATGAAAAGTATAGTAGGGATTCACAGCCATTCATAAACTTCATATTGTTACCAAAATAAAAAGTACACAAAATCCACATTGAGAAAAAGATAAAGATGCTTGGATTAGAAAAAGCGTATACTCCTCAAGTTCATCAGAATATCCTCAGCGAGTATAAAACTGAAAGTAGTTAAACATTTGATAAGATCAAGCCCCTGAAGTTGCCACAGGGACTTCATCAGATGTCCTGCCTAACATGTGCCTCAAGAGCACAGGGGAATTAGTGCAGTCACACCTAAATCCTAAGCAGTTAAGTCCTACTCTCAGAACAGTTTCACATTAAAAAATGCAAATCATCATTACTTAAAAAAAGAAGCAACAGATAGATATGACTTACTCTAATCTTTTTTTTCTCTAGTAGTAGAAATACAAAAATTGTGCCTAGTTTGAAAAATAACCTGTGCCATGAAATTAGTCTGAAATGCTGCAACAAGTGGATTATTACTTAGTCTAGATTGTTTTTAAATTATTTAAAAGAACATTTCAAGCAATGGAAATTCAGCAGGCCAGGAATTAAGATATTTGAACTATGAATCTGGGTTGCTTTTAGCTGTATAACTATAAATCAGTTACACATTTATTAATCTGATTCTGGGGATAATTACCTCCTAACTTTACAAAGATAATAAAAAAGTAAATTTTTTTTTAGTTTCATAAAATGAAACTAAAAGTAACTAATTTGAATGGAAATATGTTAGCTATTGTAGAACATGATAAATATAGTGAAAAGAAGAAAAGCATTTTAAAAGTGTGATTGTATTATGGTTTGTTTCTTTTACAAATCAGCTTTCAATGTATATCTCTCTAATGATAACTTGTTTGGTTACCTATGCTAGGCAACACTAGCTTTCAATGTATATCTCTAATGATAACTTGTTTGGTTACCTATGCTAGGCAACACTAGCTGCAGTTATGACAGAAAAATCTCCTTTTACCACACCAATTGGTCGAAAAGATGAAGCAGATCTTGCAAAATCAGCTTTGGCTATCGCAGATTCAGACCACTTGACGATCTACAATGCATATCTAGGGTAAAGAAATAATCTGAGTGTTATCAGTAATCTACTGACTTTTTGAATTATTTACTTGGTAAGATTTTTTTTTTTTTTTCATTAAAATGATACAGGTAAGATATACATTTTTTTGAAAGATTTATTTTTTATTTATACAATAGCTGTGGTACAGGCCAGAGGCACGGGAGGGTGAGAGGATTCACCAGAGACAGAGCAGTCAGCAGAACAGGCAGACGGACCGAAAGCACTGCTGAGGGGAGCAGTGGGCGAGATAGGAGAGGTCTGCTGCGCCATGTGGGTCTCTCCCTGGCCAGCCAGGAATTGAACCTGCATTGCAGAGGCTGTGGACAGCTTCACAGCACTGTGCTAATTAACCCACTGTGCCACTGGGGAGGCCCGAGATAAAATTTTTTTTTAATTTTTTCATCTGTCACGGTATAATTTTTTAGAAAATCACATTTTTATAATCCTTCCCAAAATAAGAACAATATACTTTATATTATATTACCTCCTATTTGAACTTAATTAATAATTTGCTATTATACATAAACAGCAGGTATACAATTGGTATTACAGATAGGTATTACAGTTGAAATTCTTATTTGGTGACTGCTACAATAAGATGCCTCCTTTATTTTTAAATGATTATAATTAAAGCTTATTTCATTAGTGCCTCTGGGAAAAAGTCTGAAAAGAAAACGTGTTGAACTTTGGTCATTTTGTTTATCTAGATGGAAGAAAGCACGGCAAGAAGGAGGCTATCGTTCTGAAATGGCATATTGCCGGAGGAACTTTCTTAACAGAACGTCACTTTTAACTCTAGAAGTAAGTCTTAATGCAACTCTCTAGTTAAGAGTCATATGATTACTAATAGCTTTATTTTGGAAAAAGAAATATCTAGGCAAGTGCTTGATACATAGTAGGGGCTTTTGATAAATGTTGAATTCATAAATTTGTCACCTTTTGTTTTGTTATTTCTCCAAACAGGTAACCTATATATATATTACACAGTGCTTTAAAATAGTATTTAGTGATCATAATGTATTAGGAAAATGATAAAGAGACAAAATGATTTCACAGAAATTACTCTAGCTTTGGAGTTAAGTGCTGATTTCTCCTGCTATCCAAAAGTAGAATGTCCCCACTTGGTAGGTTCTTTTTTGGGCCTGGAATGCTCAAAAATGTTTTCATATGGATAAATGAAAATAAGGCATTCCTCAACCCAAAAATTAATCTGAACCCACTTTTATTAATTTCAAAATGTTGACATTCTAATTTTACATGTTAGCCAGAATTCTTTCATAAAGAACTTTTCCTTTATATTTAGATACTGTGAAATATAGTACAAGAAAATTTGGATAAATGCTTAATTCTTTCCTTTTAGCATTTTTTTTAAAGATTTATTATGCATACAAGAACTGGGGTACAGAGGCATGGGGGGGTACAAGGATT